GATAGTAGCAGGTGTGCACTCATGGGTATACAGGTAAACAAAAAATACCTTACACATATAGTTGAATCTTACTCAGCTTTAGAAACAAATGAATTTCTACACACACCACAACATAGATAAACATTGAGGATACTGTGATAACGCAGTACTAAAAAGAGAAACACTATATAGTTCTATTTACAGAGTTACTGGTGTGGCTAAATTAATAATATGTTGCTAGGGTGGGAAGAAATGGAGAGTTATTTAATGGGCATACAGTTTTAGTTTTTGCAAGATGAAAACCGGTCTGCAGACAGATGGTAGTTAATAGTGCATGTATTTAATACCACTGAGATATACAATAAAAAATAGCACAGAACGTAAAACAGCCTGCTGCATATCAAGTTCATGGTCATGTTAACTGGGTTTCCTTTCTCCAGGGAGAAAAACAACACGAGTGTGAACCCACCCTGAGAGCTTTTTCCATTTAGACATCAGACTCTTCTGAGCCTTTGTGAAGGATTACATGAATTATGGGAGGGAGACTAGGAGGAAGAATGTGGGTGGCCTCTAGATCGAGCTAGTCACCTTAAAACAATAGGGAACAAACACTTAAAACAAACACTGCTGGGAAATAATGGAGAAAATTGAAAACAAGGCTTTTATAATCAATGCATTAATTTTTATATGTTGGTAATATTTATCTTCAAACAAAAATTCATAGTGTAGGCCAAACAAAATGTACCTGTTGCCTGCTATGTTACCTCTCCACCTCTCCTCATCTTCCTAGACCAGTGCCAAGTATCTTAAAGGATGAAACACACACACACACACACACACACACACACACACACACTCCTCTGTTCCCTTTTTATCAGCTTCATGGCTGAGAAGCAGGGTTTCTACACGTCAATGAAAACCCAGATCTTGAATGCAGGTCCCTTTAAAGCTGGACATGGTTATTAATCTTGCAAGGGTCTAGACATCACCCATGTGTCCCTAAGGCAGAGATCTTGACCAAGAAAGACAGTCTTCTGTGTCCATGGGATAGGGTCTAGACGTCATCCATGTGTCCCTAAGGCAAAGATCTTGATCAAGGAAGACTGTCTTCTGTGTCCATGGGGCTAAAAGTTCCCATCTGCTGCTTTTGAGGGAGAACTTCTCGTTTTTTCAGTAAACCAACCCCACTCACTTCTCATCTTGTTCATGACCTAACCCCATATATCTGAGACAGTACTTAGCATGCATCTGGGGTTCGGTAAACACTGTGGGGAGAGGATTATTTCTTTAGACCCTTTAATGTTGTATTTCTTACTAATTCTTACTGGAGTCTTACTGACTGTTTCCCAGTGCTATTTGCCTTGGAACCATAAACTCTCTCTCAAAGTTCTCTCTCTGGCCTGGGGTATGGAAGAGTTGTACAGGGCTTTCTTTCATAGCATGAGTGAGTGCCTGAGTTCAGACCTCAGCATCAGAAGCAAAGAGGAATTAGGTTATAAGTGGAATCAATGCTACTAACTAACCAACCCTAAAATACAGATCATTCTATGTCATCCAACTGTATCCAACATAGCCTAAGGGGCTTTAAAATGAAAGACAGTTGTTTCTCTCCTTTCACCATAGAATTTCTGGGATGAAACTCTGGTTGCCAAGCTTGGTGGCAAGTGAGTCTACCTGCTGAGGGGGCCCAACCGTTATTGTTCATTTCAGTTTTTAACAAGTAGTTCCAAGAGGCAATCCTGTAAGATCACTGGGTTCTCCATCTCTGTGCTCTGACATACTCTGTACGCTGAAAAAAAAAACCTTATGAAGGAGATTGGTCAAAGCATGTGCATTCCTATCATAGCAATTGTACCATCTGCCTCTGCCTTTTCAGCATTAGGCTTCCCCAGCTCATGGGCTGGGGTCAGACCCTGGCTCTCTCAGCTGTTCTTTACTGATCAAAGGTTGACACAGTTGTGATATTTGTCCACAGGACATATGACACTTCAACCTTTAGACCTTTATCTTGAAAACCCTTCAGGAGTTGATGGAGAGTTTCCCCATCAGGTATGGCTGGTTGTTGGAGAGTTATTCTACTCCCATGGTTCTCCAGGTTTGATCCCTAAGCAGCCTTGCACTTCTCTGGGAATTTGTCAGAAATGTAAATTCATGTGCCCCACCCCAGGCCTATTAAATTCAGAAACTCTAGGGCTTGTGGCCAGCAGTCTGTGTTATATTGAATCTTCTTCCTGGATTCTGAGCTATGCTGAACATTGTGATACAAATATCCAGCTTGGTCTGATTTCTTATCCTTAGCCTTACAGTGTCAGACGTTTAAAATATAACCTAATCGTTTTCTATCCATAATTCTAAAATAGTGTTTAAATATATATTTTCAGATTTGTCTACTCAGCCTTCAAAACAATGGTGAACATTGTTTATGCTTCCCTTGTAACCCAGCTTTCATGAACATCTAACAATCCTACGATACAACCTCCAGCCAATTTTAAGTCTATAACTACAACTTCCCCTTTGTCTAACTTTCACAAACCAAGCCAGTATTCTCTCTGATCTAAATAACCCAGAGTCAGTTATCAAACAAGTAGAGAAGTATCTGTGGTTTAGAATCCTCTGACATTGTCTACACTAGCCATTCTCAAGATACTCCTGCGTCTCTCTTTCCCCTTTCTACATACATTCCAGTAATAGCTTTGGTCTAGATTTTCCCTTCACTCCCAGACAAGCCCAATGCTTGTCCATATGCCCCTGCATGACATGGCACCCATCTTTCAGGAAATGTAAGCCATAAAAATAATCTTTCAGAACATTGATCTTGCTGTGTCATTACAGTCATCCCGTAAATTAAAATCCTGTGGGTATACATTGAAAGAAGTGCCTAATAGAAATAGAAGCAAGGTGACAACGAAGGAAGTGAGAAAATTGGGACAAAGACAAAATGAGAACACAGAAAATGAGATGAAGCCTGAAAAATTCATATGCATCAAGCACTCTGTAAGGCTCCTCCTACCTTTACAGAAGAAAGGGAAGTGGTGACCTAGCACGTCAAACTGCCAAAGAAAACACATATTTACCTCAAATATTCAGGGAGTCACAAGACAACTGCCAAGTGTTTCAGAGAAGCAAAGCTCTTCCTGGTTTGGGGAACTGAGAGATCACCCTGCCCCCTCCCAGGTTCTTTATAGAGCCTATTGGAGCAGTTGCATCTTGTCTAGCCCCCAAGGACAAGCTGTGGAGAGCCATTTCTTTCTCATCTCTCAATTTAGATTGTAGTATAAAGTCCAAAGCATATTTAGTAACCACGTCTCATGAGCGTTCTGCTAGAGTCTGTATTTCAGAGGTCTGGGGCTGGTGCTTGCTCTTCTAATGATTTACTTAATCTAAAAAGAAATATACTGCATGTAGCCCTAGTCTTTTCCAACATTTTAAACATACACATTATTACCCACAAATTAATTCTTCCTATCATTATTCTATTGGCCAATTAAAGAGACAAATAATAATGAAACATGTAAAAATGAGATTTATTCAATATGGCCACATAGGGAATTGGAGGAAGCAACGGGGTCCAGTTACCACGAAGTCCACCTTCAGGAGTACTGACAAGAGGTTTAAATTTAAATAGAGAGCTAGAGATAGTCATAAATTAAGTACTCCTGCCTGGTTAAGGTGTAATAGTGCTGACCTAGCACTGTTTCAGGTCACTTAAGTCTATCTTGCAAAGCAGTCTGAGAAGTTGTCAGAGCTGCGAATTCTGGGAGGATTCGCAAGCTCCTTCTCTGGATGGCGCTAGGTCTTCAGTGTTGTTTCCATTTCTTCAGGATGAAATACCTAAAAAAAAATTTAATTGTTTGGAGTATGTTTCCTCAGGCTGAAGGCCTAAGGGATGAGCACAAGAGTTTCTTCCCCTACCACAGTGGTTATGTTCATGGTCTGGAGGAGAGGTGGTGACTTTCCAAGTTCTCCTTCAATATTATTAATTTCAGTTGAGCTGTTGGGCTAGTGAGGAGAACGGGCAGTCTAGGGTCAGATAAATATCACCTTCAATGCTTTTAGTAGACAGCCAGATACTGTAGGCTTGCATGGTGACTCTCAACGACTTGTCCGACCATCTAGGCACGAGGGAGAGATGGCATATGGAATGGGATTGAGATTCACAGCTTCATAAGATAGCTTCAGTTCTCAGCTCTCAGCGTTTTATCGCAAGCTCTGCTTACGTTTAGGATGCATGGCTGAGGCATAGCCACAGACAGACCAAAACAAAATGTAGAGTGGGAAGCCAAGCTTGCTCCAGTGTTCAGATCACCCCTGTTAATCTAGAGTGGGAGTTGACAGGTTTAGTCGTGGTCAAGTAGCACATTTGAATCCAGAAGGCCATTTCAGGTCGGCAAGTGACTGGAGTGAAAGGTTCATGCCAGGAAAAGACCTGAGTCAGGGGGCAAAGAGGCAAGGTCAGTGTATTAGGGCGGAGCCTGGGAACGGCTGGCTCACGGGTGGGGCGGGACCGGGGGCGGAGCCTAGCTCAGTGAGACTCGCGCCTGCGCAAGGACTGTCCGGGAGGTGGGGCCGCGCACGCGTAGTGCGCGGGCCCTGGAGGGCGGAGTCCAGGAGGGTGCCGGCCAAGGGAGGGGGCGCGGCGTCGGTGAAGTCCGGCGCTCCCGCAGGCCGTAGAGGCGATGCTGGCTGCTGCGGGGCAGGCGGCTGGGCGGACTAGGATGTGACAGGACTGCCTCTCGCCTCTCTCCCATTCTCGGGCGGGCAGGTCGCTGGGCGACCCGCAGCCGGGCCGCGGCCGAGGAGGCAGCGCGACCTCCGCACGGTGAGAGCCGGGGGTCAGGGCCGGGGTCTCGGGGCGCCCGAGGCTGCCTGGCTCCGGGGCGCAGCGCGGGAGGACGGAGGGCCCGGTGTCCTTGGCCGTCAGCGCTCTGGGACGACCCTCGGAACCCCCACCCTCTCTCTCGAGTCTCCTGCGGTGCAGCGGGCAGGCCGGATGCCCCTGCTTGGTGGTGCTGTGACGGGAAGGGACCACAGGACGCCTGGGCTGCAGCCTTCCTGCACCGGGAAATCAGGGCGAGGCTGAGATGCCCCGGGATTTCAAAGCCTGGATGCTCTCATTGGTAAGGGAAAGTACCTGAGAGCCTGGAATGAGTGGGATTTTTTTTTTTTTTTTAAATCACTGAGTCAAAACAAAGACACGCCCTAAAACACATCTTGAGAACTTTGGTGGGTTACGGTATCTGTAGGTTCAGGTGCTTTTGCTTTTTTCCCCTCCTCTTCCTCTTTTGGATATCGGTTTTTATACAGTTTTAAAATGTACCTACTTTCTTGACAGAGTAAAGGGAGTAATGCATTTGAGGTGGTCGTTGGTGATTAAGCCTGATTTTGAATTTCAATAATTGCAAATTCATCTTTGCTGGCTACCTAGCCAATTAGGTTTGCTGATCATAAAGCAGGCCTTAGCAATGGAAATTACTAGTGCACAATCTCTTTGCTGTCCAAGATTGGAATGTCCTGTTTCACTTAAGGAGAGAGAAACGAGGTGTGGTGGCTCACACTTTTATCCGGCATTCAGGAAGCAGAGGCAGGTGGATTTCTGTGATTTCCAGGCTAGCCTAGTCTACATTGCAAGCTCCAGAATAGCAAAAACTACTTAGACCTTGTCTCAAAAAAACTGAGGGTTGGGGAGGACAGTTAGGAGTGAGAATGAGCATTTACCTTTGTTTTTTCAGAGTAGCCGTTTGAAAAAGGATTTTTTTGGGGGGGAGGTTGAGAACATTAAGGATTGATGGAATACATGTATTTAGACAGTTAATTAAAGTGTTATCATTTAGATTAAAGTACTTTAATCAAATTTAATGCGAAGGATAAGTATGAAGTATGTGTTATGATCTATAATCTATAATTGGTAAGGATGTAAACATTGATGAATGGTTGCGTGAATGAAGTCAGTCTTCTTTCCAGACGTTATTAATGTTTGTCTCTCTTAATTTATTAGAGTGCATTGCTCTTCTCTTATATGGTGGTTTTCTTCCTTGTTCTCAACAACACTGACCTCAATCTCTAAGTTAAAAATACTTATAACCCGTAACCTGTAATTTGTTCTGTTTCTTTAATATGCCCTAACAAGAAAGCCAGAAGCCGTCCTGAGAGCAGGAACATTTTTATTCTACCTTCGCTCAGGTAGATTTTTTTGCTTGCTGCTATATTGTTCCTATTGTGTGGGGGAAGAAGAGAATTTTAATGTTATGGTTAGAATTTCTTCAGTCTTTCCCAATTTCTGGTTGTTTGTCTGCATTCTCATTTCATCAACTTTTACTCATGTCCCCTTCATGGGACTGTTGGCAGCTCACAGAAGATGGGATCTTCCTTTATTTTCTGGGCCCAGAATTGTCTTCCTAATAAACATTTTGCATCCCCACTAGAGTATTGAGCTTGAGTCTTGTCCGGGCATCTCATCTGTTGTTTTCACTGATCCAGTAGCATCAGGCCAGGCTGCACTGAGCAGTTCGTTAATTATGAGTTAATGATTTGCTTATATATGTCTCCCCCAGGCTTTTGAGTTTCTTTTTAAGTTTGCTGCTGCTGGGTGGTGGTGGCACACGCCTTCAATCCCAGTACTTGGGAGGCAGAGGCAGGCGGATTTCTGAGTTCGAGGCCAGCCTGGTCTACAGAGTGAGTTCCAGGACAGCCTAGGCTATACAGAAAAACCTGTCTCGGAAAAAAAAAAAAAGTTTGCTGCTACAGCACATGCTAAGATCTATTTATTCAATACATTTTGAGGAAAGGGTCCAGGCTTGAATGCAGATTTAAGATAAGCTAAATATGTTTGGACTGTCTTTCAGTACCAGAAAATTTAGAAAAACAATATTTTAAAAGATGATTTTTAGAAAAAATTTATTTGTTGGTGTTTTGCCTGCTTTTCTGTCTCAGTGTGGGTGTCAGATCTCCGGGAACTGGAGTTATAGACAGTTGTACGATGACGTGTGGTTGCTGGGAATTGTACTTGGGTCCTTTGAAAGAGCAGCCAGTGCTATTAACTGCTGAGCCATCTCTCCAGTCCCAACATTACTACTTTTATTTGTTTAAGGATGAAATTAAACACTGGTTAGGAATGACATCCTGGTTATGATGGGAAAAAAAGTCGGTCTACTTTAAGATGGAGGAATGAAGGCCATGGCAAGTAAGGGTTGGTCTAGAACTTTATTTTGAGGTGCAGGGATTTTGCCCCCATTATGGCTAGAAAGGGACAGATCTGGGAATATAGATGTCCTTTGGCCATCTTCGTAGTTCACTTTTACTCCCCTCTGTCCTAATTCTAAATACAAATTTTTTAAAAATTACATTTGTCTATTTTGTGAGTATGTGTTCTTACATGCTCCTGCTCCTGTACCACAGCGTGTGCATTATGATGTGTGTGAGTAGGTCAGTTGTGGGAGTGGGGTCCCTTTTTCCAGCACGTGGGTGCTGGGCATAGAGCTGTTAGGCTTGATAACAAACAAGCACTTTAATCCACTTTTTTTTTTTTCTTTAGAAAGAGTCTCACTGTAACCCAGGCTAGCCCAGAACTCAATGAGTTGCTCAGCTCAGGCTGAGCTCAAATTTCTGCAGCCCCTCTCTACCCCCTCCTTAACCTTCCCCCTCCAGCCTTCTGAGTGTTAGGGTTACAGAAGCCATCAGTGCATAGTTTCTAATTTCAAATAAAGGGTTACCATCTTGGTGCAGTATGAGAGAAATGGATATTTATTCTAAAAGGGTTATATTAGTAGATATTAAATTGAAAAGATTTAGCAGATCATTTGGTTCCATGTTAAAATAGCTTGGAACATCTAAAGCCTGAAAAAGCAAGTAGCTTGTCTCTGTCTAACCTCCTGTGACAGCTCCTGATCTCATGTTTGCATGCTTCTCACTGCTCTGTGGAGCAGTCCATTTGTGCTTTCCTCCTCCCTAGCTGCCACTCCTAGGGACCTAAAGCCCTTGAGTGGCTGGGAAACATGAAACCTCATTTGGGAAAATGGGAGAAACTGGACCTTTACCACTCCACTGGGCGGAACTTGTTTATACTTTGGTGTTGGGAGCCTCTGGTCACCATATGGAGACCCTGCACAGTTCCTTCTGATGGTAAAGTGAGAGTTTGGTATAACTGGGTTACAGCTGGTTAATAGCATGGCTAGAATTACATGTATGCTTTGCCCGTTGTGAGAATTGCTGCTCTGATTACACCTGGATAGTTTTTTTAGGGACAAAAGTTGATAATTGTAGATTTATGTATCTAGTATATCAGTTTCCAACTATGTGCTTAGCATAGTAGGGCTCACTAGTTCCAGAAGATGTTTTGTTTTACAAGAAATAAAACCAAAATAAACTATTCCTTGATTCTTGTCAATTTCACATAATTTTATACCACTGATTGATGTGTAAATGTAACCTTTAATCTGGGTTTTAATACTTGATGGGTTTTCTTTTTGCTAGTTTTTATACCATTGGGTTAATTATAGAGTGTTACAGAAAATACTTATTTCTAAATGGACATGTGAGTTGGTTATTGTTTTGTAAGTAGTGCAGTTGGTATATTTTAGGTGTCTTGGATGGCCTTACTGAAAATGCCACTCCCTGTCCTGTCAGGATTCTGTTCACATACGACATGACCACGTAGTCATCTTTTTTTTTTTTCCCCTGAAGGCTAAAGGCCCTTGGGAGGAATTACAGCACCAGAGGGTATGGAGGTTTTATCAGTTTCAAAAGCTCTTGCTGGCTTTACTTTAGAAAGATCTACACTTCTCCCAGCAGAATTTTAATCGAATACTTTGTCATACTTTCATTGCCTTTTGTTTTGAGTTAGTCTTTTCAACAATGAGGATAAGAGGACTTTCTGTCTCACAGTTAAAAGGCACTTGCAGGTTTTATTCCAGTTTTATTCTCTCCTCTTTGTGGATGGGTTGTCGTTTACTCATAAAGCCACTAAAATATTTTTACTAATTTTTATTAGCATTAGCACTCCACATATTATTTTTGTTACTTTTTATGTTTATTTGAGACAGAGTTTCCTGAAACTCAGTCTGACTTTGAAGCCTTGTCCTTCTTACTCTACTGTCTATGAATTATAGGCCTGACTTATTTTTTAGTACCAAACACTTGGTAGCTTTTTAAAATTTTACGAGAATAATCGACTTTTAAAAATACTTTGTAGTTTTGTCTCTTAATTGTGTGATGTGAGTATGATGGTACCCCACCATTTAAAGCATGCACTTTATTTAGCTTCCAGAGCCATCCTCTTACCTGAGACCCCTTAAGCAGGGATTGTAAGCATGAGCCATATTTCTGGTTGGTGCTTACTTTTGAAAGATGAATTCTGGGCAAAAATATTACTTTGAATATTTAACAGGATGGTTCTCAGACTCTTCAGACTTAGAACCCCCATTGTACTTTTAAATATTCTTGAATATCTTAATGGACTTTTGCTTATATGAAATATAATTTTTGATATTTATCAAGGTATAAATGCTATATATTTTTGTATATATTTATATATTATAAATGTATATATTTTTGAATGCTTAAAGTAACAATAAACCTGTAATATGTTAAAATTGTGATACATTTTAGACAAACCAAAGAGTTCATGAATGTAGTGTATTTGATAAAGTTTTTGTCTGTTCAGGGTTGACCAGAAGGTCATTTTTGATTTAGCTTGAATTGTTAACCATTCAAAAAGCTACAAAACAAATCTTGTTATCTGCTCTTTTTTTGGAAAGTGATGTATTTTAGACAGATAAGATAGCCTAGAATAATAGTTACAAGATATACTACACTGATACCTGGCATGTCATTGTTTCTAAGTACTACAACCTAGAAGGTAGGCTTTTTGTAGCATCATTTTATGGATGAGATGTAAAGGGATCTGCTGCAGATAAAGTAGGTATCTCTAGCAAGCCATGAGATTGGACCTGGTCTGCCTTCCCTTTAAAAGGGGCTATTCCAAATGTGTATTATCTTATTGCTATGCTAAAGATTGGACTTTTTTAGGCATTGGAAAGATATATATTTGAAGCCAAATCAACAGTTCATGGTAGTTGAAAAATTTCTTCTGCTTACCCTTTTGTTTCGTTTAATAGCTTAA